TTAAAATATTTCATTTATAATAAACTAAAATAAGATTTTCGTAACTTGATGGCTAAGTTCAAAACAAACCTAACAATTGTTTGATAACTATTTTAATATTTATAGAATATTAATATGATACTTCAATATATTTCTTAATATATCATCATAGAGTTATTTAGTGTCTGAAAAAGCTATTAAAATTATTTTATGATAGATGCTCATTCTTTAAAACAGAGAAGATATTAGAATAAAAAAATTAATTAGATGTATGCTTATTTTTTTCAATCTACTTTAAAATATTCATCCAAAAATCTCATTTCACAAGCATTCTTAGAAAATAAAAATAAAAAATTATTAAAAATAGGCTCTGATAGCACTCTTTATAAATTAAAAAATATATTAATATTAAAAATTTTAAAATATATAAATTTTTAGATAGGTTAAAATTATATGAATATACAAAAAAAAATAATTTTTTAACAAGATTTAAAAAAATTATTAGAAACAGGCTTTGATGCCATATTTTTATACTAAAAATAACATTAATATTGACAGTGTATTTTATTGTGAGCAAAAAAGAGAAGTGACAAGTGAAAAATATATAATCCAAAAGGATAAATCACATTTTTGTCAATTTAGTGTCTTACGTTTTGAGCTAACAAATATTTTGCCTTATATATTGGTAGTTTCATGTTAATTGAATCTTAGTGTCCTATATTTAGTTTCATTAGGAAATTAAGAAAGACATGTGTTCTACTGATTCTACGCACTAATTCATGTTAATTGAATCCTAATGTTACACTATTATTTTTAATATTTTATTGAAATAGAGAAAGTAAAATCTCGCCTTTGTCTTTTATATATGAAGTATTTATCAATTTATTTCCTCACAAAAAAGTATTTTCAATTCGTTCTCTCACAATATTAATATTGAACATTAGCTTGCATGTAAAAGTATTTTATTAAAAATTATATTAAATTAAAATATTTCATCCATAAAGATCAAAATAAGATTTTCCTAACTCCATTGGTAGCCATTTCAATATTTATTAAAGATCAATATAATGTATTATAATCTAATGAATTTCTTAATGTGCCATAACAAATTCATTAATGTTTGAAAAGACTATTAAAATCACTCTGTTAGAGAGGCCCATTCTATAAATAGAGAAATCACATTTTTTCTAGTCTAATGTAGAATATTCCTCAAAAAATCATGCTTTCCTAACATTCTTAGAATACAAAAATAAAAAATTATAAAAAACAGGGTTTGATATTACTTTTTGTAGACTAAAAAGATATTAATATTTAGAATTTCAAAATATATAAATTTTGAAATAAGTTAAAATTATATGAATATACGAAAATAAATTTTGACACCATTTATAGAAAAAAATAAAATCAAAAATAGTTAGAAAAGGCTCTAATATCTATTTGTATAGTAAAACAAACATTAATATTGGCAATATATTTTATTGTGAGCAAACAAAATGTAAAAAAGATGTATATCTAGTGTCTTACTTTTTTTATTTATTTATGAAAATGTATAATTTAAAAAAATCTGATTTAAAATAAAAAAGGAAACAATAATTTAAGGAAGACTTGCAACAGAGGTTATAACATATTATTTTAGACTTTAAGCCCGCAATTATTTTGTTTTATATATTAATTTCTTTATGTTAATTGAAACTTAATATCTTTTGTTAAGTTTTATTATGACATCATTAAAGACACATTCTTTGCTCATTCTAACCATTGATTATGAAAGAGTCTAGTGCATGTTGAATTTCTTGTCCTAAATCATTTGAACTTAATTTAAAAGTCTGACTCCTATTTACTTATGTATTAATATCTATTTCTCTTTCTCATATGTAAGTCCTAACTTTTGTAAGCCATATTTTCAGACTTAGTTTATATTTTTTAATTGACTACTTTGATATTTATATGTGTATTGAGGGTATATTGCAAAACCCTAAAAATTTTAGAGTATTAATTATTTTAAAATACATAAATTTAAAAATATGTTGATATTTTTTGAATTGTATGAAAATATATTTTGATACCACTTGAAGGGAAACAAAAATAAAAAATTGTTAGAAATAGCATTGATACTACTCTTTGTTTACTAAAAAAAGGACAATAATATTGGCAGCATGTTATCATTTAATAATCTATTTAATACTCAAGATATAAATTTAGATGGAGTGAGTGAGTGAGAAGAAGCAGAGCAATACTGTTGATAGAGTTGACCTCAAGTATGGTTATATGTAAAAGTTTAGCCTTCATGAAACTCATTTGGTATTAATGATTTTTTCACTTTCTAAGTTATTTCCACCTTCTCACATTATTAATTTTATACTTTAACTTATATATGAGAATGTTTTATTACAAACTAAATTAAATTAAAATACTTCATCTATAAAGAACGAAATTGAAGTTTTCATAACTCCATTGCATAGTTCAAAACTTAACCTAACTACTATTTGATGGTCATTTTAATATTTATGAAATATTAGCACGATGCCTCATAATTTAGTTTATTACTTAATTGTCATAACATATTGATTTAGAGTTGGGGCATAATGTTTTTATATTTTTAATACATGGGGGATAATAACTTTTGAAACTTTTGCACATAAAACCCATTTAATAAAATTAAATAAAAATAACAACCCGACATTTTAAATATTTTGCAATATGGCTAGATTAATATTTAATTTAACTTGAAATGACAAGAATGGCCCTTCTCTTCAAATCTGAAATCTCACTCCCAATCTTAAATTTGAAATAAATTATACCCACTAAGCTGAAGGTGAAGCATTCAAAAGTGTTTAAGTATTAAAGTAATACATGATCGTAAATGGCTATGATTATAATCATTCAGTTACAGGAGTTTTGCTATTTGTTACACAAGTTTTTTTATTTGTTTTGGGATAAAATGGGAAAATCACACTCCAATTGATCATAAACGAGCCACATTCTAAAATTTTCAAAGCTTCTTTCAAATTTTTTAATTAATATATTTTTCAGGGCCATTATGCCACATTACTCAATAACCTTTTATTTATTTTTTTCAATATGCACATGGTATATTATTTATGTTGTTAATGTGCATGGGGTAAAAAATTAAAAAATAGAATAATATGTTGTATATATTGTTAATATGTATAGGGCTTATTAAATTCTAAACTAGGATATGTTATTTTCAAAATTTTAATTTGTGCATATATAACACATAAATTTTAAATTTTAAAATTAAAAATTAAAAGATAGAGCAAGCTTTAATTTTATTATTTTTTTGGGTAATAATACATTAGCTTTAATTATAAGATAGAACAAGCATTAATGTTTTTTGGTAAATGAACAAGCATTAATTTTAATTTATGTGAGGATAATACATTCTTGAAAACTAAATTGTTCTTTATATTTGTTACACATATAAGGTAACAAATTATAAAATAATTTGTGTGGGAATGAAACAAGTTATTGTTCATATTTTTAATTTTTAATTTTTAATGTGCATGAGGTAGAAAATCTATTACTTATGCAATTTGCAATTTAATCTTGAATATAGCCTTGGATATATATATATATATATATATATAATTTCTTCGTTCAAAAATGTAAGTATTTTTTAAGGAGTTGGATGTTTAAAAATGTAAGGCATTTTTAATCTTTCGAGGTGTAATTATTGCCTTTTTTTAAAATGTCCCTATTGATAATGACTTTATATTTATTGTAGGGTATTTAATAGAGGTAAATATGAAAAAATAAGGTTAGTTAAAAAGTAATTAACTATTTTATTAAAAGTAAAATTTAATTAAAAATATCTTATATTTTTAAATGAAGGGAGTATATATACATAGTATATATTTTGGCTTTTGAGGATAATTTGTTTTTGATAAAGAAACCATGTTAACCTTGTAATAGGTGTGAAGCAATGTGGTTATCACAGTGTATATTTGGATTAAAATTTATAAAACTGAAGTTTTTATAAATTAAAATTTGCAAACGAAGGATAAGGTAAAATTTAATAAATTAAAATTTGTTTGAATTATATAATTTAAAAATGAATTTAGAAATATAATGACTTAAAAGGGCTTAAATTTTGTAATGTAGATTTATTTGTGTAATTTGATCTCTTTAATAAAATATTAAACTTTAAATTAAATTTTTTTAAAAAGTGCATGTATAATTAAGGAGCATTATTTGTAAATTTTAAAAAGCTAAAATAAATTGATAAATGAGCATAAAAAGTTAAAAGCAAAATAAAAAAAATCAGTTTCGACAATTTTAAGTTTAAACTAAAAGTCATTTACCTACCATTTTTACCCAAACAAGATTTTTTGAATCCAATATAATTTTGAAAACACAAATCCAAACTTTAGTTTGGGTTTAAACCAATTTGCTACATCGAAGAGAAAGGCAAAATAAACAACAGTGCGTTGAATGAATCCTTAAACACTTTGAACCTGATTTTTTCAATGCAAAAGCAACAAAAAAATTTGCTTATGCTAAAATCTGATGGAAGATAAATATATGTTCTCCAGTTGAATATATTTAAAAGAAAAAATTAATTTTTTACTCTTTTAACTTTTAATTTACTTGAAATTCAATCCTTTAATTATGACTCGCTGTGACTCAGTCCTTCAACTTTTAAATCACTTATAATTCAGTCCATTAATTTTTGTTAATTCTTTTTTTTTTCATGTTAGTTTAGATTTCACATCAAAGAATAAGAGGAGGGTATTTTAGAATAATATATGAGCATTTCTTTTATCCCTCTTATTTGATAAGGAATTTTTTTAAAAAAATTAAAAAATAAAGACTGAATTAAAAACAAATCAAAAGTTAAGAGATTGAATCGTAATGAGTTACAGTTGAAAAACTGAATTATGATGAGTTATAATTAAAGGATTGAATTATAAATAAATTAAAAATTAAAAATTAATTTTCCCTATTCAACAAATAAGTTGGGTTGGGCAGCAGCTAAGCTTGCACCCTGGTTGAGTGTTGACCCTATCGGCCATTGGCCGCTTGCGTGGCCCGAACTCAAAACATGGATCCAAATGAAAGTAGAGTGTGCTCGTGTAGCCTGGGTGCTTCTTCGAGTCTGAGTCTTGCTTGCGAGGACCTGGAAATGGCAGGTGCAGCTACGAAGGTTTGCGTGACTGGTGCTGGAGGCTTTATCGCGTCTTGGCTCGTTAAGCTTCTTCTTTCCAAGGGCTATTTTGTTCACGGCACCGTCAGAGAACCTGGTCTTTTCCCATTTCCCCCTGCTTCTGAAATCTATCATGCTCTTTTGGATTAGAAAATTTTCATTTACTGCATTATTGAATCGCATTGTTTTCTTTTTGCAAGTCTTATCAAGAGTCATGTATTTATTGTTTTTTTTTTGTTCAGTTGTTCAAAACAATTTCTTAAACCCTCTATTTTTCATCAGGTAATCAGAAGTACGATCACTTGCTTAAATTCGAGGGAGCTTCTGGGAACCTTAAGTTCTTCAAGGCTGACCTCTTAGATTACGAGTCTCTTTCTTCGGCGATTGCTGGATGCAGAGCAGTTTTCCATGTTGCTTGTCCTGTGCCCTCCACAATTGTACCCAATCCTGAGGCAAGGTCTTCCTGGGTTTCAAATAAGCTGAATCTTACTGTTTGTTCTTCTAGATTGTTCAGGCAAATTTTTTATAGGCAAACTGGTTTGGAATTATGCCTTTATCAATATTGCTTCGACTTCAAAGCTGAAACTGTTAGTTTGGAACTGTTAGTTTAAGTAAAAGCACACGTGTGTTTAACATTTTATTGCTTATTGGTGGAAATTGCTTCGGAAGTGGAAACACCCTCCAAATTTCAATTGACTCCTTCATTGTCTTTTATTAGTTCATCATATTGACATGAAATTCTGACTTGGTTCAAAGATCACAAGTTTTTTTTCCATTTCCTGTATACCCACTATTCCTTGATATTTTCTTGTATCAATTGGTTTTAGAGTTTCTTAATTTCAACCAATGGGACAATGAGCCTTTGTTTATATCGTTTTCTTCGATATAGAACCTAATATGTGAATTGAATCAGGCACGCAATACTTATTTTATTTGATTGATGTAATTTCTATCTTGTCTCTTAGTTAACTTATAATGAAATTTATGCTATGTTTTTTTGTATATCAATGGAATTGAAGTCTCAGATGTTAGTATCGTTTGAGAGCATTGCAATATTGAGAGCAAGATTCTGATTATAACTGGGACTTGATATTTTCTAAGAGTTTTGCATGTTCTACTAAAAGTTTTCTACAGGTAGAAGTTATTGAGCCTTCTGTGAAGGGCACTGCTAATGTCCTCAAAGCTTGTCTTGAAGCAAAAGTGGAACGGGTTGTCTTTGTATCCAGTCAAGGCGCTGTTTCCAGGAACCCCAACTTGCCCAAGGATGGAGTAATTGATGAGTCCTGTTGGTCTGATAAAGATTGGTGCAGAAGAACTAAGGTCTAAAGCTTTGAACTGTTGTCACTTATGAGCTTATGGTTTGGTTTTGTATTTGGCCCTTTATTTTGAAAGTAATATCGTTTTTCATCTGGCATACTATTTTACTCGAATTTCTATTTGGTAAATAGATTGAATTGATATCTATATAGCCGGCCCTATTTAGTAAGGTTAGACTTGTCATTGTTTTATTTGGTAAAGTTACTTTGCATGTTAATCACTCAATGATCAAGAATATTTGCTCACTCTTTTTTCACTCATGTTCCAGAACTGGTATTGTTATTCCAAGACAGAGGCAGAGATGCAGGCCTTGGAATTTGCCAGAAACACAGGGCTTCCAGTGGTAACTATTTGTCCTACCCTGGTGTTGGGGCCAATTTTACAGTCAACCACTGTCAATGCAAGTAGTTTGGTTCTCCTCAAACTATGTAAAGGTGCTAGCTATTGCCTTATTAAATTCTGTTTTGCAATATACTGATGTTGATGCCTCATTGTTTTATACCGTAGACACAGCTTTTTTTTTTTTTTTTTTACTATAAAATAGAATGAATTTTGGGTCGGCAATTGATTTGACCATTTCTTCCTTGCAATATTTGTCTGGAACTGAAGGTCCTGAGTCACTGGAGAATAAACATCGGTGGATAGTAGATGTGCGTGATGTAGCCGATGCAACACTAATGGCTTATGAGAAGCCTGAAGCAGAAGGGAGATACATATGCACTGCACATTCTATCAACACAGATGAATTGGTGGAGAAATTAAGACGATTATATCCTAACTATAGCTACCCTAAAAGGTGGTTTTTAAGAGCATAGGAAATATATGGTATGGTCGCCGCTCATGTGTACTTTATGTAACCTTGTTTAATTAGTTTTGTGCTTTTGCAGCTTTATTGAAGTAGATGATCGCATAAGGTTAAGCTCAGAGAAACTGCAGAGGTTGGGTTGGAGATACAGGCCACTGGAAGAAACACTAGTTGATTCTGTTGAGAGCTATAAGGCCGCAGGGCTTCTGGAATCAAAATAACTTTGATTCTCTCTGTAGCGGACGCACTTTGACTTCGGAACCAATTTGGATCCTTTGAAACTAGTTGTTATTTATATTATTAATATGTATGGAACTAACAAATTCTAAACTAAAATGTCGAAATTTTAATTTATGAAATATAATTTTATTTCAAAATAACAAATTATAAAATAAAATCATGTTTAAATTTTAATTTATATGATGACAGCACGTCTAGAAATAATACATCTTTAGATTGTTTTTTCTTTTTATTTGATAAAAATCTATATATAAACCTTTGGGTCTCTGAATGTGCATGCAGCCACTTAGAGGCCTACAATGTATTGTTGCCTTTTTCCCCCTCTTGTTTCAGTGTTCCGAGGGTGAGTTCATGTTGGTGGGTTCAAGAAGGAACTGTTGCTTTTGAGTTGCTTTAGCTTTTTCAAAAGCCACGTTTTTTCAATTCTTACAGGAATAATCTATATGTTTTAACTCCTACAATTTCTTTGAAAGTTTGAATGAAAGGAGGTTTAGAAGCATTTTAAAATCACTGGCCACAGTACCCTGCATAATGAAGATATATCAATTAATGATGGTCTTCTTCTCAGGCAATTAGTTCTTCTTGATGACGTCGTCTTTTTGGTTTTGTTTTGTTGTCGTGGTTTTTGTTCTCTTCGTTTGGGTCAGATTTTCTTTTTAATCCTCCGGGCCTTTGTTTTTGTCCCAATCTAAATGAGTTTGAGTGTATAGTTCTACTCTTTGGCCTAAAAATGTAAGTTCAACTATTTTGCCTGGGCCTTTTTATTATACTCATCAATTTCCTTGATTAAAAAAATTTGACTTTTTATTAAAAAGTATATTCAAAATTATAAAATACTTTTAATTAATATATACATCTAAAAATTAGTTGATAATGTCTTAAATTACACATTCTTTTTTTTTTTTATGCTTACCATTATTTAATAAGTATCTCAAGAAAAATACTCTAAAAAAAGGGTTCACTAATTTGAAACGGAGAAGTAATAATGGGTGCATTCAGGGAATTATTTGTCCATATAATTTTGTAATGATTTGTTATTGGGTTTACCAGAAAGTTCATAGTTCTTGAAGTCTGAGTTGCGAGGATAAGGAAATGGCAAGTGTAGCTACGAAGGTTTGCGTAACTGGTGCTGGAGGCTTTGTGGCGTCTTGGCTCGTTAAGCTTCTTCTTTCCAAGGGCTATTTTGTTCATGGCACCGTTAGAGAACCTGGTCTCTTTTATTTTCACTTTCTTCTTCCATTTCTCCCTTAATTTTGAAAGCGTTTATACTCAATTGGATTAGTTCGATTTCATTTATTGCATTTGCGTGATTGAATCGCATTGTTATCTGTTTGCAAGTCTGATCGGGACGCGTAGGTTTTTGCCTCTTTTTTGAAAAATAGAATTGCTTTCCCTTACCCTCGGATCAGTTCATCAATTTCTTTAACCCTTTGTGTCTGATCAGGTAATCACAAGTACGATCACTTACTTAAATTCGAGGGTGCTTCTGAGAACCTAAAGCTCTTCAAGGCTGAACTCTTAGATTACGAGTCTCTTTCTTCGGCAATTGTTGGATGTAGAGCAGTTTTCCATGTTGCTTGTCCTGTGCCCTCTACAACTGTAGCCAATCCTGAGGTAAGTTTTTGCTCCATGGGTTTAAAATTAGCTGAATTCTTACTATTTTGTTTTTATAGAATGTTTAGGCTACCCTTTTTGCCATGCAAGCGCGTTTTAAATTTTGCCTTTATCAATATTGCCTGGAAGTTGAAACTGTTGTTTTAAAACATACGTATTTGAGATTCCATTGCTTTTTTGTGGAAACTGCTTCAGAGTTGAAAAGTGAAAACATCCAAATTTCATTCAACTGACGCCATAATTATCTTGTATTAGTTCATTATGTTGACTCGAAATTCCGACTCAGTTCAAAACTTCAAATATTGTAAATTTTGTCATTTCCCCGCATGCACACTATGTCACTATCTCCCTTGATATTTGCTAGCAGCAATGGGATTTAGAGTTTCCTTCTTTGAACCAATGCAGCATTATCTATCATTTGTAACATTTCTTCAATATGGAACTTGTATGTGGAGTGAATCAAGCAACCAATATTCTTGTGATCGATGACATTTCTGCTGTCTCGTGAGTGAACTCAATGAAATTTAGGCTATGAATATTTTTATTTCATCGTAAGTCTTAGATGTTAGGTTTTGTTTGAGAGTTGCAACATTGAGATCAAGCATTGGTTTATAATTGGCACTTGACATTTTCTACAGGTTGAAATGATTGAACCTTCTGTGAAAGGCACTACTAATGTCCTCAAAGCTTGTCTTGAAGCAAAAGTGGAACGGGTTGTCTTTGTATCTTCTCAAGTTGCTGTTTCCGTGAACCCCAACTTGTCCAAGGATGAAGTAATCGATGAGTCCTGTTGGTCTGATAAAGAGTACTGCAGAAGAACTAAGGTCTGAAACCGTAAACTTTTATCACTTACGAGCTTATGGTTTTGGACCTGAAGCTGGTCCTTTATTTTGAAAGTAACAGTGTCTTTAATGCGGCATGCTATATTACTTGAATTTTTATCTGGTAATAATACATTACATTTCAGTCCCTCGATTATCAAGAATATTCCCTTACTCTCATTTCACTCATGATTCAGAACTGGTATTGCTATGCCAAAGCAGAGGCAGAGTTGCAGGCTCTGGACTTTGCCAGGAATACTGGGCTTGCAGTGGTTAGTATTTGTCCTACCATAGTGTTGGGGCCTATTTTACAGTCAACCACTGTCAATGCAAGTAGCTTGATTCTCCTCAAACTATTTAAAGGTACTTGCTAACGCCTTATCAAATTCTTTGTTTTGCTATCTATTGGAGCGTCATTGTTTTGTACCACAGACACAGCTCTAACGCCTTATCATCTTAAGAACCGTGAGGCTTTATCTGTACAATAGAATAAATTCAGGGCTGGCAATTTATTTAGCTGTTTCTTTCTTGCAATATTTGTCTAAAACCTAAGATGCTGAGTCGCTGGAGAATAAGCAACGGTGGATAGTAGATGTTCGGGATGTAGCTGATGCAATATTAATGGCTTATGAAAAGCCTGAAGCAGAGGGGAGATACTTATGCACTGCACATTCTATCAACACAGACGACTTGGTGGAGAAATTAAGGCGTTTATATCCAAACTATAGCTACCCTAAAAGGTAAGCTTCAGTTCCCGTGGTTAATAAAATCAAACCATATATGCTCTAGTTTTTATCTAGAGAGAATGACAATTGAAGATCATGTGAGGACATTAATGGAAAATGAGGAAACGTTTACTCGTTAAGTTTATGAATTTGCTACCCAAACTCCCATATTTACAACTTCAAAGTTCTTATTTAGTATTTCACAGTTTCGGCTTCTGTTCTTGTGCACTTCATTTCACCTTGTTTAACAAGTGTAATTACTTTTGCAGCTTTATTGAAGTAGATGATCGCATAAAGTTAAGCTCAGAGAAACTGCAGAGGTTGGGTTGGAGATACAGGCCACTGGAAGAAACACTAGTTGATTCTGTTGAGAGCTATAAGGCCGCAGGGCTTCTGGAATGAAAATAACTTTGATTCTCTCTGTAGCGGACGCACTTTGACTTCGGAACCAATTTGGATCCTTTGAAACTAGTTGTTATTTATATTATTAATATGTATGGAACTAACAAATTCTAAGCTAAAATGTCGAAATTTTAATTTATAAAATATAATTTTATTTCAAAATAACAAATTATAAAATAAAATCATGTTTAAATTTTAATTTATATGATGACAGCACATCTAGAAATAATACATCTTTAGATTGGTTTTTTTTTTTTTGTTTTATAAAAATCTGTATATAAACCTTTGGGTCTCTGAATGTACATGCAGCCACTTAGTGACCTACAATGCGGTGTTGCCTTCCCCCCCCCCCCTCTTGTTAGTGAGTTCATGTTGGTGGGTTCAAGAAGGAACTGTTGCCTTTGAGTTGTCTTTGCTTTTTCAAAAGCCACGTTTTTTCAATTCTTACAGGAATAATCTATATGATTTAACTCCTTCAATTTCTTTGAAAATTTGAATGAAAGGAGGTTTAGAAGTATTTTAAAACCACTGGCCACAGTACCCTACATAATGAAGATATAGCAATTAAAGATGGTTTTCTTCTCAGGCAATTAGTTCTTCTTGATGATGTTGTCTTTTTCATGCTTTGGCAGATGATATCACATTAAAACAAAGATATCGTATTGCAATTATGCTGTCTTTTTCTTTTTTTTTTAACCAGCAAGGTAGCAATCTTTGGGTCCATTTGGTCGAAAGACTGTTTAGAAAACTCTGTTTTGATAGACAAAAAAATCAGGCCGACAACGATTGATGAATTTTGTATCTAAAGGAAAGAAATATAGTTTGATACTTGATTTATGTTTGGGTAGATAAAAATGATGGAGGGAAAAAATAATAAATCACTAAACATCCCTATTGTGAAGAATAATAAAACAATTGGTTGTTAGTAATTATAAATAATAAACTATATTAACATATTTATTTTTATAATTCTTAAAAAATAACTAACAGGGTTTGATTTATTGAAATGAGCTAGTCCTTTATAATATGATAAATTAATATTTAAATTTTTATTAGAAAATGTGTTCACATTTAATGTTTAATTATACTTCCAATAAGATTGCTTTTTAGGTATAAACAATCATAAAAATAGTCACGTGTACTATTTCAGCTTTTGCAATGGAAGATTCATTATATTGGCCAAAAAAAAAAACAAAAAGAAGATTTGTTTTAGAAGGTTGACAAAATCAGAGCTAAATGAAAAAAAATAATATATTTTTCTCTAGCTGTCCTAACTAAAAAAGAAATCAACAAAAAATACTTTTAAAGCTATAATACACAGATATTGATATATATATATATATATATTTATTGAATACATAAATAATTTTATTTTTAAAAATATAAGATATGATATATTATTGATACGTGCATATATATATATATATAGATAAAAACATAAAAGACATTAAAAATATAATTTTAATTTAGAAAATATTCAACTAACATACATATATAGTCTTCCATCCTTATCTAATTACCCACCATCTAATTTCTATTAATAAGTATAGTATCAGTATTTTCTCTTCCTCAACTATTATTTGAAAAAAAAAATAGCTTCTAGATCTTGTTTTACTTGCAACTTGCAACTTTATATATTATAAGATGACATTTTTTCATGCTTTTATAATTAAGAAAAATATAATTTTTTTCATTTATTACATCTAAAACTTATTTTTTAAATAAAATCTAATATCCTACTTTAAAAGCAAGTAAAAGAATAATAATAAAAAGTTTAATATCATAATTTTTAATAAAATTTGATTTTTTTAAAAAAAATTTTGTGTTGGCTTTAAGTATCGATTCATAATTTAAAAATATTATATATATACATATATATATATTAAAAATTAAAATTTTTTTAAATTAAAAAAATAATATTATGATATTTTACGAAGACATATCATGAAAGTATCAGCGAGTATCGACGATAGTTGAGGCAGTTTGATGTGCATAAGCTCTCTCCCTTCGACCCTCACTTCCCTCTCTCGGCGGCTCAGCGCGACCCTCACCTACGGCATGAAACGCGTCTCCTTCGTTCGCCGGAAATAAGAAATCCACAGTTCATTCCTCCCTCGCCAACCCAGAAGCCTGGCCGCCGGAAAAGCCCACCTCCCTTTCCCCTCTTCCTCGCTGAAGTTTCTGTCAACCAAACTAGCCGTTTATGAATGGTATAGAGCAAAGCTGAGAAATTCTCAATGATGGAAACCTTAGATTCAACAACATCCTCTTCTTCTCGAACCAGCGATTCCAAACCCCAGAGCTCGAACTCGACTTTATCTCCATTGCCACCGACGGTGGCCAGACTATGGAGGCCTGCTGCGCAGCGAAATCTCAGGAACCAGTGGTCCAAGTTAGCGTCTTATAGGAACCAATGGTCCTCTGTTTCTTCTATCGGAAGATCTCGCGCAACTGCTCTTGTCAACTCTCATCTCTCCCAAAGGTAATCAATATGCAAGTTCATTTTTTCTTTTTTTGGCAACTCAATTTCACATTAGAAACTAGGAAAAATTCAAATTCTCTCCCAAATCCAGGGTTTTATTCATTTTATGAAATATTAAATTCTAACTATTCAAAAATTGATCCAAGGGTCGAGATGGGAAGAGGAGAGAAGCCAATTCCTTTGTTCACTGCAAGTTTTTCACTAGTTTTATCCTTTAGAAAGGAGAAAAAGTGCTCCTGCCGTGATCACAATCAAATTCCTCGATCCTGCTAATTTTTATCTTGTTAGAGTGAGCTGATAATAGGTTTTTGCTCCCATGTGTGTCCAACTTTTTATTGGCATTTACAAATAACGTTTTTTTTAATACATTTTTCACTGGTTGTTTTAATATATGATTCTTATAAGGTGCTTGTAGTTATGCTCTTGTTTATGCAGGTACATGCCTAACATGGACTTAGGTGTTTTGAGCGATATGCCTGATATAAGAAACAGAGCTTGTTTCAAACTATCAAAGCAGCAGGTAGTTCTTATTCATGTTACTGGAATTTGTATTTCTACTTTGATAAATCTCGCTGCAGCAATTTGAACTTATATTAACTTATATTGGAGGTAATTGTAACTAGGGCACCAACACCATTCAAAATTGTCTGAGTTTTGGGATATGTTTTTTAACATATAATGTCAAAATTAATGTCTACATCTTTCAAGAATTTATCATTATTTTGTTTTTGGTGAATTCTTCCAGCATCATATATTACTAATGTGATTTATAAATTATAAATTTTGTCATATTCTTATTATTTACTGCTTCACTATTTGTGTCTGTTTCAGGAACTTTTAAGGAGCCAACTATTGTCTACGTATAAGGACATGGTACAGTTTGTATGATATTGACATGGTTATGGCAACAATGCGCTAGATGTTACTGAATTGATTTATTGTGCATGTTTTATTTTTCATCTAATTTCAGGTGGGTGTAGTTAGTGACATTTTCAATACTACCAGATCAATGAGATGTTTCTTTAAAGGATCAAATAATAGTCCACTACTACAGTTTTCTAGTTTTTCTGAAGATAAGAGTGAGTCTGGAGATGGTGGTGGCATCCCTGTATTCTCATTTTTATCGATTGCTTCTCATGGTATGACTTTTTGACCCCCTTATTCTGCATCACCCCCCTTAAAGAGAGGGAGAGAGAGTTTCTTAAATTATATGCTTGTTTTAATCAACTTACGAATTCTTCATGTTCTATGCAATTATGCATAGTTAGGCTATCAATTCTGAGGTCAAGTTTTGGCCAACCCAGAGTTATAGAATCTTGAGACTTTCGTGAATGACAAAAGGAAATACATAGAATTCATAAATGACTGCATGAAAACTGTTGACATTGTGATTATAAGCTCTGGTGCCCATAAAAGATGCATGGTAAATATGAGAAAATAAGAGTTTAATTGTTAAAATAAGTTTGATGGGCTTATAAATCAATATCATGGTGTCCTTATTTCCATCTAACAAGATGTGGAGTTAAAAATAGTTCAATGTATTTTCTAACACATCTCATTTATGGGATTTACTAATGATAAAAGTTACAACTCTTGAAATCTCTCAGAAAAATTGGCTGAGGAGCTGGTTCAAATGTTTAAATGGGAGCTGTGTTTGAAGGTGAACTACAGCCACTTGTCTTGTGATTTTTTTTTATTTTTAAACTTCATGTATGAATTCTGATTATCCCTTTGCTTTGATGCTGCTGTGGAACCTATTTTAAATGGGCAGCGATTGCTTGTTCTTGAGTTCTTGTCCCTTGGTTATGACATCTCACAAGGCAACCAGCTAGTTTGGTCAAATGAGCTTTATGTTGGTGAATTCGATCACTTGCAGAACTGCAATCTTTACTGTGAGGAAACCTGCAGACCGGTTCCTCCAAGACTGAGGGATGGGAAATCTGATATGGAAGCTCTCAAATTTGACAACCAGCCTATGCCTGAGGTTTTACAGGTACTGTTATATATTATATAAATCTATGACAAGTAATACTATTCGTAAGACTTGAATCTTGAATAGTGTGGTTTGCTACATTAGGCTTCTTGCAATAAATTGGCTCCGATCAAGTTTGAATCAATTAGACAAGTTCAGGGATTCATATGCTGATTCTGTAGCCATGTGCTTGAATCCTCCGAGCTTCAAGTCCCACCATGTTGCCGTTGGATTTATTCCCTGGACGACTCTAAAAAAAGGAGCCCTTCCTCTCCCCAGCTATATTGGCTCAAGAAAATGTGAAAGCGCCTTTCTCTCTAGGAAGTGTGTGTTCTGAAGTGTGAAGTGGGAGGGGATTTTCATGTTGTGTTTTGAACAAAACAGACTTTGTATTATTCATCCTTATTATCTGTCAATATGAAAAAGTAATAAAAATGAGAGGTGTTGCAAGCATCTACATTGAAGTTTAAAACTAATATATAGTCTTATTTCTGTCATGAGGCCCCGTTCATTCAATACACGGCCCCAATCTAGTTTGAATCAATTAGACAAGCTCATGGTTTCGGTTGCTTGTTTGTAGCCTTGTGCTTTAAATCCTCTGAGCTTGAAGTCCCACTTTATCTCCACTGGATCTGTTCTTTGGAGGACCCTAAAAATAGGAACCTTTCCTCTCCTCAGCTATATCGGCTCAAGAGAACATAAAAGCACCTTTCTCTCACTAGTCTCTCTAAGAACCACATGTTCTGAAGTGCGAAGTGGGAGAGAAGGGGTTTCATAATTTGAGTTTTGAATAAGACAACCCTTTCACTTTTCATTTTTATTACATTTTTCAATGAAAAAAATAATGAAAACATGAGGCGTTGCAAGATTTAAAACGAGTACATAATTATATTTCTGTCATGAGATCATTTGAATTCTACATTGCAGGTTTATTTAACAGCGTGGCTTGCAGAAGTGAACATAGACACTAACAGGTAGGCATAGCATGAGTGTATATAAATTTGTTCATCAACATGCGTTTGAACACTAAATGCATCGCTATCTTCCTCTTTCCTTCTTTTCGTAGGGTGGACGAGATATTTGCTGTTGTTGGGGAGGAAATGCATGTTAGAATATTTTGAACTTTCATTGATTACGACTGAACTGAAAAGTCTTCAATACTGCCATTAGAAGGTGTCAAACAGGACAGTTTGCTGTCCACAGACTGGTAAAAAAATTTGTTTCACAAAGAGCTGGTGACTCAGAATGTGGAACTGTCTTTGTAACAAGTGGCCAGAGAAATATTGGTTTCTCAGTGCAATACTAGAGAAATCCAATACAAGAAAACAAGCTATCTGGGTCTCAAGACATGAACATGATGCCAATGAAAGCTTATTTTTTGGAAGGTTAAAAGCTCTCACATTGTGATTCTTTTAATTCATTTTTATTAGAACATTTGGTGAAGAACTCTTGAAAATGATGTTTTATTATTGGCCCAAAAGAAAGAATTATATCTTGTCAATATATCCAGTGAAGCTGGAGAACAAGTTGCAGAAATTGAGAAATACTGTTTAGTTTGATATTTTGGTAAATTATCAGTTTCTCCACATGATATCCGTATTTTCCTTGGACCTTCTTTGCCTCTAAAGCTCCATTTAGAATTAGCATCTCTCCATAAATTCATTGAACATTCTCACAAAATTAAAAACACAGATTGATTGGTTATAATTTACTCACAAAATCATTTACGCGGCTCATTCGCAGTAAAAACATTTGGGGATGAGTATATTCATTCCCTCTGACCTCTGCTAATCACCATACTGCAAAATTTTATTTTATTTTAATTTTTTTAGAAATTAGTTTAGGCATTCCTTCCAATTCTAGTTTCAATAGAAATTAAAAAAAAGAAGAAGAATGGATTAACAAGGCAAATCTATCAGTCACAATTGTGAGAAGATAAGGGGCGATGATGACTATCTAGGCAGAGATAAGGAGGCAATTAGAGAAGCATATCAGTATCAAACAAAAAAAAAAGTGAGTTTCAAAATTAGAGAAGGAACAAGATTTCTTTGGGATGCAGCGCTTGAGGGAGACATTCTATATTTATAACAATCGTGAAGAAACCTTGAGGTGCCATGTGTCCTGGTTTGTCATTAGAGTGATGCATGACCATTCCTTTGTTTGTTCTTTTCCAACTTAATTAACACAAGAAACAGAAAAACAATGTTTTCCACTGGTAATCACAACTTCATTACGATTGAAAATATAGAGTGGTCTTCCAAAAGCATAAACATGCTAAATGCAAATTATTAATTTTCTGAGCAAATTGTTATAGAGAAATGAAGAAAACTTATTTTACATATCAGAGAAGCCCTCCGGAGACTCTACAGCAGTCTAGCTCTAACAAACACGGCATCCATGACGCAACAAGAGTTTCGTCAGGCTCTCACTAGCACAAAAACTGGGGGGAGCCATTATTTTTCTCAAAGAAGAGCTTGAAGATACCATCCATGGAATAATATCAGCACATACTTTATTACAGTGCTTCAAATTTATCTCTCTCAGTCTGCTTGATTTTTCTACCACGTTCCTCACTCCGTTTGATGTCACATTAAAGCAATTCTGCAACTCCAAATGTGTTAGCCCACAGCAAGTCTTTGAAACTGTTGAAAGGGCTTCATCATCAATCCTTGATTGCGATAAGTTCATCACCTGCAGTTTGGGTAATTCAAACCCTATCTCAAATCCGCTCACTGCTGCACAGTCAGCTAAGCTTAGGTGTGTAATCTTACGGCAGTCCCTTAAAGCTTCAAATACCCCTTTTGTAATATTCCAACAAGTGTTTATGTCAAGAAGCTCTAAATTGGGACACATGGAAACAAATCTTTTGACATCTTCGTCCTTCAATTTGAAGTTACTACCCAAATAGAGTCTCTTCACTTGAGAGTGGACAACAAAATCATTCAAGTAATCTTCTTTTAAGCCCTCTGTCCCAAGATCTGTCCTCTCCATTCTGATCTCACTAACCACAGGACAGTTTCTTGTGAGAGTTAGAAATGTTGAATTGGTCAGTTTCGAACAAAAACTTAGGTTTATGAAGGTTACATTACGGAGAAACAAAGATAACTCCCTCATATCTTGATCTATGAGATTAGCATTCTGAAGGTCCAAGTATTGAACAGATTGACATTTTGCCAACAAGCAAGATATTCCACTATATGTATAGTCGGAACATTTCCTGAGGATAAGCTTACTCAATGGAAGACCCGCATCTGCCATTGAACAGAGCAATTCATTCGATATAGAGACATATAAAAATTCGAAAACGGTTAAACTTTTCAAACTCGTCAGTGAATCAATAAAATTTGAAATAATAGGTAGTTGTAGATCCTTGACATTACTGAGAGAGATGGAAATCAGATACGGTCTCTTCAGGATTGCTTCCGCAATGCCCACTTGAGACACGAAACTGCAATCTTCAAGCGCCACTTCTCTCAAAAACTCACAATTCGCGAACAGAGAATGAAGAGAGACATCTGTGATGAAGCAATTACCAATTTTGACCGTGCGTAGGCTTTTCAGCCTCATAGTCAACGCCGTGAATCCAGAATCAGACACGGTAAATTTGGGATCGAATTCAGGGAAGCCAATGTGGAGCTCTTCTAGAAGCGGGAATGAATCAGCTATGAGGACTAGATCGCTGTCCTGAAGGTCGCAAATACCGGAACAGATCAAAACCCTCAGATAATTTCTCATCTTCGAACCCAATTTTTGCAGTCCATCGATGGGAAGAGAATTCTGATTCGAGATATTGAGGGAATCGAGGGCCAATCGAGATTTTGAAATCTGAGCAAGCACGGGATTGAGGTCGCCAGTGAAGTTACTGAGATCGATGAATTTGAGAGCGGGAAATCGGACAAAAAAACGGGGAAGGAACGGAATCGTTGAGTCGTAGATTGTGAGAGAGGAGTGAAGACGCTGAGTGATAGAGTAGAATTCTTTGCAGACCAAAGATACAGAGTCGTAGTCACGGCGGTGCTTGAGTGATCGGAGGATCAATTCCCAGCATTCACGAGGTAAATCTGCCCATTCAAATGACATCTTCGAGAAGCAAGAGAATCAATCTCAGTGGAGAAGTTCAATTCTGAAAATTGAAGAGCAAGGAAGGAGGGAAATTGAACGCAGGTAGAGGTGTGTTCTCTGTTGGATTTGTAAGGCCAGAGACGCCCGAATAATGAGGAGAGGATTTGTGAATTTTGAATGAAAGAGATTTTTTTTTTTTTTGGCCCCCTACAATGAAAGAGAAAACTTGATGACATTGTTTATGGCTTTAGGCCCCAAAAAAGGGAAAAAAAAAATGATTTGGGTCTGAAAGCCATATTACCCCACCATTGTGACACTCGGACCCAGATCCAAACCAATAAGGATCATTAGAGTGGGTCCAAAGATAAAGCTGATAATTTAAACTAAGCTTAACAGTTCAGTCCAAACTCGCTCTAAAAAGATTAAGATTTAGTTTGACTATATGAATTTTTTTAAGGGGATAGTATACTTTAAATCCGATCCAAATAAACCTGACCTGAATAAACCCAACTCTTGAAATTTTTCATCTCTATGTGTTTGTAGAGTAGGTAATTTTGGCCAAACTTAACGGGTTAGATTGAACCCTACCGAAAAAATTTAGGGTTGAACTTAATTGTATAGGCTTTTTTAAAAAGGTAAGATACTTTAAAGCTTGATTAGAATAAACTTAGCCTTGTTCGAATTATCGGCTTTATTCAGTAGGTCAATCTTATTTAGGTCAACTCAAAAAGGTTTGAGCATTTAAAAAAAAAACCAAAACAATCAAGCTAGTTTTAAACCTTTGGGTCTCTATTCAGGATTGGTTCAAATACTTGATTTGTCAATTTTTTTTAATTTTTAGTTTCAAACAAATTTCAATTTTTATTTTAAAATTTTATTGTATAAAAAAAATACAAAACATATTTTTGAGATATTTTAAAAATGTAAAAAATTTGTGAGACTTAAAGTTTACAAAAGAAGATTAAAATACTTTTTAAATATTATTTTGAGATATTTTACAAATTAAATAATAAAAATATAAGAATGTGAACATTTTAAATGTTTTAAGAAAATATCTATCATAATATACTTAAGTATAAGTTCTCTGAGCACAAAATGAATAGCCTCTGTTGAAACTTTTTGTTCTTCGTCCGCTCTATCGAGAAGTCAACATCATCTCGAGACTTCTACTTTGACTGTTGGCTCTTTGTCTTCTTCGTTTAAGGTATGCTTTGCAATTTCTCCTTCGCAAGATGGTCAATTTGGAGTTGTAGAGTTAAAGTATCATTTTGAAATTTTGCAAATGTTAACACACGCAAGAAGGAAAAGATATTTTTACGACCTCATTTCTATTCATCTCTATTGCCATTGGTTTTATGAATAAAACAATGCTACTCCAACAATGCTTTTTCTCGATATTTGCTTGAAATGATATGTAATCAAAATAAACATTTCAAGTTTCAAAATGTTGTCAATGAAATCTCAATGAATTGCCTTCTATCTTTTTCTTTTAGTCTTGTAATAGTGCTAATTTTCTTTTCTTTTCCCAACGGAATTCTTTTTCTTGAATGATATTAAACTCTCTCTCTCTCTTTTATATTATTTAGTTTTATTAATATATATTTGATTTACATCTAAAAAATCTCTCTCAATTCACTGCACTTTTCACTCTTGCTTCAGGCATCACTTGATGATCTAAATGAGCAAAAACATGGCGTATTAATTGGGAGGAGGAGGTTCTTGAAGGAAAAAAATTGGCTTTCTTACAAATTACTTGAACTTGGAGAGAGAATTACTTTACTTGCTCACCTACGTGTTTTCCTTTATAACACATTTCTCATTATCACTAATATTCTTCTTTCACTTTATTTCTTTATTTTTGTTTTTGGAGATAATGTCCAAGAACTTTTGAAATTTTTAGAGCTTCTCACCTTAATTTCTCATGCTGCATCTGCTTTCTTCTTGCATGAAAACTGAATTCTCTCTCAAATTGATTGCGTTTTGTTGATTGATTGATCTATATAATGTTAATGATAATTTTCTTGTTATGCAAACAATTGTACTTGCCATGTGCTCTTTTGTGATGTAAATTGTAATTATGCTTTAAAAGTTGGGGGTGACATTATTGGTTGAACTTTTTTTTTTTTTGGGCTTTAATATGGTTTTCAAGTTTTCATTTGAAGGGTCGTTTGCGTCTTTTTATTTTATTGCATCTCCAATTCCTTTTTATGACACCAAACATTATCAAGTAAAATGGAATTCAAAAATTCAAACTACAATAGATTTTGTATTATATATTATTAATTGATTAAATATTGATAAATTTCGTCCAAAAAATATTGATATATTAATATATCAATTGAACTTGTGTTACTGCTCAACTTTTAATCAACTGATAAAGTAAACTTTAATTAAAATATTAAGGTAAAATTAATTCATAAAACATTTCAATTCCTTTCATATAATTTTATCAACACTTAAAAATTTCAACATACATTTTTTTTCAAAATTCAAAACAATTTTTATCATGAAAAGTTAGAATATTTTTATGTATGTTGTGTTATTCAAACGATTCGTATATATATTTACAAAAACATAAAATTAAAGTAAGTAATAACGTTATTGTAAGCCATGAAAATAAAAGTATTGTTTTTAAAATTTTATCTAAATAAGATATGCCTTATTAATAAGATGGAAGAGTCGTTTATATATTCTTCAATCCATTACAAATATTTAAATGCTTACTTGAGTTAGCAAGGAGGCATGCTAGATAAGTAGATAGACATTATCGAATAAGAGAAATGAGCAAGAGACTTCGGTAAAGATTTAATTTTTTTTAATCATCATGCAACAATCTTTAATAACCAACGCTCATTAAATGATTTTAGGCACTCCGCAAAGTTTTTTAGTTATTTAAATTTTAAACAAAAACATAGATATTATTTGGGGAAAAAAACAGAATTGGAAAAAGAAAAAAAAAAAATTAAAACGCAGAATCAGTTTTTGAAAGGAGGAGCATCAGATGGCGGGGGAAAGAATACTAGTGGTGTTGAGGGTGCTTCTTGGGATGGTTCTTAAAGGATAATCTCCGGCGAGGGTGGAGAGAATGGAAATGGAAATGGATCTTGCGGCTCTCCGGGAAGCACTGGATTTACCGGTGACGGAAGGAAAACATCTGGTGTCTGGGGCGTAGTTAAATCCGGCGGCGTGAACGGAAAAGTCGGTGGTTCCTCTGGAAGCTGCGGAACCATCGGAGGTGGCAAGATGATTTCTGGCGTCTCTGGGATAGGAAAGGCTGGTGGGGTGAACGTAAATGACGGTGGTTCCTGGGGATTATCTGGGAGTTTTGGACTGGCTGGGGCCGGCAAGAAAATATCCGGCGTCTGCGGGAAGGGAAACACCGGCGGTGTGGAAGTAACCGGATTATCAGGCAGTACGGCGGTGTTTGCGGGTTAGAAAACTCCGGAGTCGGGATCACGCCGGTGTCCGGCGGAGTTGGGTTTGGTGTGAGAGGGGGTGGAAATAAGAGAGGATCATCCGGTGGTTGTTGCGGTAGCTGTGGAGTTCCCGGCGGCGTCGAGAACATCGGGACAAGTGGCGGTGCTGGTGTAGATCCATCTGGGGGAAAATTTAATGCAGGTGGTGGAGTATAAGTGCCCGCATCAGGAGGTGCTATCCATGGCAAAGTTGGTGTTTGTGGCATATCTGTCGTCGGAGGACTAAGGACAAGCGGAGGTGGAATTATCAACGGTGGCAGAACGGCCGGTGGAGGGGCCAGGGACGGTGGTGGTGGTGATGGAACTAACGGCGGAAGTGGGGGCAATGGCGGCAGTGGGCTCGCCGGTGGGGCAGAACCAGATGGAAGACACGGTGGCAGACATGAAGGAGGTGGTGGTGATGGAGACGGACACGGCGGAGGCGGTGGTGGTGACGGAGGTGGACAGGGACAAGTCGGTGGGGGTGAAGGACAGGGTTGAGGTGGAGGTGCACATCGTGGTGGTGGAGACAACGACGACGGTGGCGGCAATGAAGTTGGTGGAGGAATTACCAATGGTGGCGGAGAATATTGAAGCACCGGTGGTGGTGGTGGAGGAGGAGTTGAGATTCTTGGCGAGTAAGAAGGAGTTACCGGCGGCGGAGAAGCCAGTGGCGGAGGGGAATGATATATCGGAGTCTGATCAAATGGATTGTCTGCTGAAGGATATGTAGGAAAGGGCCATTGACCACATTTGGAGAACAGAAACAGGTAAAAGGAGTCACACTTGTTCCCTCTTGTTCTTTTACCTCCTCTACTTCTTGTTTTGCTGTTTCTGCCATGCTCGATCTTTCTTCTAAGCACTCTCAATTCTTCATCTTCTTTGCCTTTTTCTCTACTTTCTGCCAGAGACTGGGTAAGCAAAAAGAGTAACACTAGTGTTACAATCACAACACTGTTTGCTTTCATTTCGCTACTGCATGTTCATCACGTCCTGCCCATCGCTCTGGTTATACACACACACACAAATGTTGTTTACGATGTGTATGAATCTGTGCATAAGAGATTAATGTGGCGAGTACACAAGAGAAGCAGTAAATAGTGAGAGAGAAATGAGAACATGAGAAAGGGGATTTGGATCTAGTGATTGGCACAAATCAGCTCATCAATGAGTGTCAAATCTCAAATTAGTTTTGGATGGTACAGCATATGTGAGTGTTCTTGATTGTCGAGAGTGTTTTGAATTTTTGAAAAAAGTGATAAATTTCAAGTGTTAACGAAATCTAATAGTTTTACAGCACGTGTAAGTGTTCTTGGTTGAATCGTTAGATCAGTATATTAACTGATTTAATAAATTTTTTTGTTTATGAACGGTTTGATCATGATTTTTATCATTAACTCTTGAACCAATCTCTTGATTGGTTTAATGATTAGTCTGGTTTTTAATACCTTAAATAATTATAATTGATATATTCATTGACTCACTGTATCCAAATCTAGAGAAAGGGAACAGTGGGTTTCACGCACACACAGAGGAAGTGGAAGGAGGGTGCCTAGTTGTATGTGCCAAATTCACTGCCGGAGACTTGAATTGAATATAAATACTCTCAGTACTAATTTAATGCAAGTAAAGGTTGTAGGCGCACACCTCAGGCTCTGCCTTGTGGCGTGTCAATTCTTTAGATCTTGTGTGTTTGCATGTTTTAGTAAGTTGCAACGAAATGGCACGCCAAGTTAGCGTTGAGTAAGAATTTATTTTTGGCGCAAGCTGATGATGTCTTCTAAAGAATTAAGTTATAGAGAAATAGGAAGAGAAGAGCTGGTTCACCATGTGTGAGTTTTATAGGTGTGGGGTCTAGCCTACATGTTTATTCATATTACTTCTAACTTTTATGATTATACATTTCTAGGATCCTCATTCTGTTTTTGGCCGTGAAAATTAGTAGGCACCTAGCATAATACACTTTCTGATACTAAATATAAGTACTAGTTAATAAATGTTTTGATCTTAAATATAAGATCTCAGTTCCTTGTTTTTTATATTTGCTAGTTATTTTCAAACTATTCACTCATTAACGTGTGTAATAATCAATAGGGATAATTTTCGTTGTAAATGATTAAAAGAAGGGTTGTTTTAGGAAAACTAATACTCCCTTCATCTCAAATTATAAGACACTTTTAAACAAAATTACATATGTCAATAAATCTCATTAAATACACTTTACAATTTCATATTTAAAAAAAAACTTTCAAAAATACCCTTCATTTATTACTCCATTTATAGAAGAATATTAAACAGAGAAAATATAATGGGAAGGGTAATATTAGAAAAGAATCATTGATAAAATCTTATTTTTATCAAAATGTTTTATATTTGGGACTGAATCTTCTCCCGAAATGTTTTATAATTTGGGACGGAGGGAGTACTATATATATATATTTATAAATAAGTTATTTAACTAAATTTTATCATATTTATGAATTACTCCCTTCATTCCTACTTCTAAGTTAATTTTACCTATTTTACGCAAACTAAGAAAACTAATTCATGTCTTTGAAATTATTCATCTTTATGCAAATGCTCTTAATTAAATATTATTCTCTCTTAATTAATTAAAAGCATCATTTTTCAAAGGCCATTGTTGGAAAAAAAAACATATTAATTACTGCTTAGATTTTGTAAATTGTCTCATGAATAGGGACACTCAACTCTTTTCTACATCAGAGGGAGTATTAGTGAAGTGTTTTTTCTTGTTTGAAAGGGAGGCTTTCTGAGTGAAGGGGTGAGACGTTTCAAGAATAAAGTGTTACATTAAAGCATATCCCGTTAGGCTTGGAATATGTGCAATGTAAAAATTATAAAACAAAAAACAACATAACTCATGGTCCTCAACAACTATTTTGGCCTTTTTGTTAAAAAACAAGGATCATCATGTGCTTTCTGCCTCCAACATATATGTTCTTTCATGTGCCAAGTTACCAAATTCAATATGTAAGGCTATTGACTCAGCTTGCACTGATTTTTTCTAGGGAAGAGTAAAGGATAAAAAGAAAATCCATCTTAAAAAAAAAAAATGTCCTCACTCTCATTGATAAAGGTGAATTGGGTGTTAGACCAAGAACCATTTGTCAATAAGTCTGTACAAACAAAACAAGTACGGAGAATTCTAAATGCTGATCCTCAATCCTTCCTTTCTAAGATCTTAAGGTTTTATTTGAATGGGTGGATTTAAGTTAGGAATTTGAATTTAAAATCTCATTTGAAATCTCACAATTGAAATCCAAAGATTCTAATTCTTTGTTTGGATGATATAAAAAATTTTAAATTACAATATTAAAATCTTTTGTTTGGATCTAAAGTAAAATTTTAAATTTTAAATTCTATATTTGAATTTAAAAACAACTTGAAAGATTGGTCAAACCCGACAATCCTAATGGCCAACTTTCAACAGGATCAAACAGCCAAAGCCAACTAGGACTATGGCACTAGTGACAACCAGGATAATCGGGATGGGATGCCGAACTTCCACTGGGACTGGATTATCGCGATGACAAGGATCGAACGGCTAACTTCCACCAAGACTCAACCAATGGGGATTAGAAAGCCGCCTTCCACAAGGACCGAACCAACGGTGACGATGGGAATTGGACGGCTGACTTTTACTGGGACCGAACTGATAGTGATGACAGGGACCAGACCCACGGCGACGATTAGGATAGGACAGCCAACGTCCACCAGGATAGAACAGCTGACTTTCATAGAGACAAGACTCGATGGAAGTCGACTGTGGGGTCCTCGTCATCACTATTAGTCTGGTTCCGGTGGAAGTCAATCTTTCGATGGTTGCCATCGGTCCAATCTTGGTGAAAATCGGTCCTCCGGTCCTTGTCATCATCGTCGGTCCGGTCTCAATGGAAGTCGGTCATTTGGTCCCTGTTGTTGCCATAGGTTTGGTCCTGATGGAAGTAGGCTGTTTGGTCCCCGTCATCATCGTCAGTTTGGTCTCGATGGAAGTTAGCCGTTCGGTCATCGCTGCTGCCATCATATGTCCTGTCCCAGTGGAAGTTGATCTCGGAGAAAGTCGTCCTTCGGTCCTTGTCGTTACCATCGGTTCGGTCCTGGTGAACAATGGTAGCTTGTTTTTGTCAACTTTGGCGGTTTGGTCCAATTACCCTTGGCATGTCGATCAAGCCATCATGGATTTGGGTCAAATTATAAAAGAGATTGAGTTAAGATTTGAAATAATTGGGGTCTAAAAAGGATTTTAAATTACAAAGAGATTAAGGAAGAACTTGAATTTGGGTTTGGGTTTGGGTCAAATCCAAATTCATACGTTTTTAATTACTCGAACAATAGATTTGATTTAAATCTATATCCAAATCCATGTATATCTAAGCATAGCATAAATGTCAAATACATGGATCTGAATTCTTCATCTATCATTAAAAAGCCTTACAATTCTTCTTCGTTCTAGAAAGGTATTTATTTTTGTGCTGACTTGATCATGTCCTAGCTCAAATGGAGAACTGGACTGGTAATGGGGAAAACATTTCTCTAAACCATCCTGAATGGTTCCAACTCATTCAGTTCCCTAATCAATCTACACATAATCATTCTGTTGCTGATTTGTTTAGGGTTTAGGGTGACTTGAACTTGATTTACATTTCTCTAAGCCATCCTAAATGGTTCCAACTCATTCTGTTGCTTGATTTGATCCTTCTTCAACCTTCATGTTGGATGGCCAATGCTTGAAATGCACCTTTGTTTAACCAACTTTACAGAAGAGTTGATGCTAAACTCATTTTCAGCACTCCCCTACCTTTAACTCCTTAAGAGGACAGACTCATCTGGAATGTCGCACACAGTGGTGAATATAAGGTCAAAGATGGTTTCTAGATCTTACTCAACCAAAAAGCTTAGAAAGCTTTGTTAACCCTTTTTTAATCAACCCATTTCGAGTTTGTTGTGGAAGCTCAAGTCAGCAATGAAATATCTACTTTTTATCTAGAAACCTATTCATCAAGCTTTGCCACTAGAAGATATACTACTTCAGAAACATCATCAGAATGTCTCAAGTAGCTATCCTTTTGGCTTGTCTTGTCTGATGGAGAGACCATTGATCATATTTTCACTCAGTGCAATTTTTCTAAGCATTATGATTTTCTTCTGTCTTCTCAATATGTCCCTATAGCTTTTAGACAGTCTGGCTCATCAGTTGGATCTTAACCACCTTGAATGGGTTATGTATGAGATTGGTGGCTTAGATCAGATAAAAAAGGCTTTTCACTTTGCTGAACATGGTTTAGCAGAAAAGATATCTGGTTGTTTGTCAAGATGATCTTCAAACACCCTCTCAAATTCATCAATGAATTCCAGGGCATTCTTACCTTTTGGATTCTGTCTGTCAATGGAAATTTTCCATTCCTTCAACTGTTTCAGGTCCGGTCCTACTTCACTTTCAACACACAAAACCTCGCATTGCTTTGGATGGACGTTGGATAGTTTAGATGAAGAAACTAAAATACGTAAGACTTTGCATCGTGGTTCGTTATTCAAGAAAACTCTAATATCATACATACTGTTTATCCCATATTTTGTCTTTTTCGGCCCAAGCCCAAAGAGGTCGAAAAAAGCTTCTAGAATGGGGGAAGTTACTTGCAAAAAAGATTAAGCAATGCGCCACTTCGAAAATGGGGGGCAAGTAGAAAAGTTCAGGAAAAACTGCAGCAAATAGTCTTGGAAAAGTGGAATATAGAGTCACGGAAAAAACTATCTACGTTGCCTATGAAATAAAAGCAAGGCACAACATATCAAATCCCTTGCAGCACATTATCAGAAAAAGTACAGACACTTCCTTTTGTAAATTCTATGTAGTTCCTTTGTATCAGCACGCATCACGCGATCATGAGAAGAGCAACAAGTCCCTTGCAGCAACACCGGTAGAACAGCAACACCACTAACGCAGCAC